TGTGATTGTAGACTAATCATTTCATTTCTCATGGATATGATTTTTTTTAAGTCAGAACAGCCAAGAAGATTTTCCTCATGGGGTTACCTCAAGGATGAAATAAAACATTATCAAAGCATATGGTGCAGCTCAAACACACAGGGGCTTGATAATTGTCAGATGTCATAATTACTGTCTTGGATTGTTTTCCTTTCTGGTGGTTACCATTAAAACTCAAAAGATTGAATGGGAATTACCAAATAGAATTCCTACAGTTTTAAGTATTTGGTGTAAGTTTGAAAATCTAAACTAAATGAGTTCTGACGTTACCACTATAGTATCAATTTTTCTTCATCTATTTAAGACTTAGATCATCTAACATTTAAGACACAAGACAGATGCAACATCTGCTGTACGTTGGTAGTTTAATGCGAATGTGCAAAGCTGTTTCATGGGCTTTGAAACACTGGGATGCATAAAAAGCAGCATTTATTATACTACCTGTGAGTTCCTTAATGGCGGAGTTACATTGTTTTTTTCCTCTGAATCCTCAGTAGACCTTAACATAGCACTACAGAAAACAGATGAAGAGTAAACACGTTAGATTGATGTGTAGACTTGTTTATGGATGCAGTGGAACAGAAGATAGGTTCAGACTGCATCTTCTTTCTCATGAGGCCTTTGAACAAAGTCTAATGCCCAAACTCGGTAAAGAGACATAAATAAATCTTTTTGAATGAGTACTGTTTCTTGGCTAAGTGTCTAGCCTCCATAGAGTCATGTCTGTAACTGTTGGCCAAAGTAATCAAGAATAGCCATAAAATTCCCCAAATGTAATATGATCACTGATTATTGTTGCCTCTCGTAGCTATTTTTCCAACTGAGAATCTACAAATAACTAATACTGGTTCACTGAAGTGTCACAATTTTATTTCCTGATTCAATCTCTGTCAGATTCATTATTAGTGAAATGGCCAGAAAGGGGTAGGAAAAAAGGTTCCAGAAAATCATTTGAGAGTCATCCAAAATTGAACTTGAATATATGAATTATAAACAATTTCAAAGTAGAACACTATTATGTGAGCATTCTTTAAAGAAATTAATCTTTAAAGCCAGTAGGGTACATGACAAAAAAATGAGTATTCTTTTTCAGGATAACTGTTGGAGCTATCTCCGCGATAATCAATGTGGACTTCACAAATACAAAATAATGTCCTGTATATGTGTGTATACTTACAGGACACTTGCAAGTTCTCATAATTAAGAAAAATAGAGAAGAACTTGTGGATGTTATATAAATATCTCGCACACAAAAAACACCCTTAACAGAAGTTGTCTTGACAAGGGATATAAAAAATTGTATCATCTCCTTCATTCTTGTCATCTTGCTTCATCATGTGACCCCTCATGTATCTTTTACATTAGCCACACAAGCACGGATGGTGTCTCAATGAACTTACTCAGATAAACACAATATGGTTTTCTTTTAAAATAAGCCTTTACTGGATATATCAACAAGGTACTGTATAGTGTAGAGTGAAGTTTGTAGTTAACAAAAGTGTGCAACATGGCAGGTTCCAAAAGATGGTGTGATGTAGAATCCCTCAGCCCCTTGTCAGAGAACACACTAAACACAAGCAAGAAGCAAATCAACACAAAGTTCAAACAGTAACAGCCATCAGGATGGACTTCCCGTGAATATATATATACCTTTATGAAAGGGACATGCAGTGCCAAAGCCTCTTCTTGGCCTCAAATGACTGTATATTGTACCTTGCATGGACCCCTGAACAAATACCCCATTTCTATGGGTGTGTTTGAGTATGTTTATGTGTTTCATGCTAGTTTAATAATGCATGTGGCAATGACTTGCTTTGTGCTCTTCTCTTGGGTGTGCACCTATAAAAACAAAAACCAGAATCATATGTGTACAAAACTTGTCCCTACAATCAGTGACAAGCATTCTTCACTACCAGCAATTGTCTTGTGAACTTGCTGAAGAAATTAGAGCATGCAAGCTACAGCTTCCTACTATTCATATTTCAGATTTTCAAAGTAGCAGTCGGAGAGGTCTGACAAGACCAAGAATTGAAAGTTGTTTTGTTTTTAGGTATTTTGTTTTTTTTTTTTTTTTTGGCAGGACTTCTTTCCTACTTTCCTTCCCCATGCAACTAAAACACAAGTCTTAAGCAAAACCCATAACTCTCCTGTTCTAAACAAAAATGCAATGCCCATTTTTAAAATATAGGTTAAGTGAAAATGCCTTGAGTAAAGACGTTAGTGGAAATTAGCCACTTCCCTGTTCAGGAGCTACATTGCATTGTGCAGCTCAGCTTCGCTAATCAAGTGCAGCATCCGCTCCCTGTGGACCACAATATTGTCTTGTGTTTTGAATGGATGCCTCGCTCACAATATGAAGCACTTGTTTCCTCAGTGGGAAGTAAGTTCTGACTCGTGTGAAATCAGTAAGACCATTATGATTCACACTAGTAGGAAACGGAGCTGTGATGTTAACTTTTTCATTAAAACTTATTAGACTGGTCATGCTATACTTTTTGTTTTAGCCTCAGAGAAAATGCCTAATACCTTTTCAACAAACATCTAGGTAATTATAAATTCCATTATTTTTCTCAAGGGAGAGTGTTTTCTATTTGTTGCATAAAGAAAATAGGAAGGGGACAGACTCCTCTCCTTGTCTCTGCCTGTGACTGACTCACATGGTTGGCTGTAGGTGTATCTGAATGGGTTTTGGGAAGTTTCTCATCTTTTCCTGGTCAAATATCACTGTAGCATTAACAACTACCAGGGTTGTGATATAACCTTCAATGATACCTGTGTGGTCATGGCTATGCCTTGGCATTTCCCAATGTCATTTTTACAGTAGCTGGGACTAAGCTCTGAAAGTGGTCATATATTGTCACAAATTATCTCATTTGGTATGATAACACCAAGCTATGAGCAAGCCAGCAGACCATGGCTTTACTCCACGGTGTGGCCCTTTATTTTCAACCTTCACTATGAGTTAACTCACAATACAAATGTATCTGCAAAACACATTCTTACGACTAGAAATGTTGATCAATGCATAATTCACCAGGATGTCCCATCAATAAATTTTTCCAAGACACATCAGACATCACCGATTCAGTTCTGTGCTTTCTATCTTGACGCGGTTGAGGATTCCAGGTATACTACTATAGACGAGAGGCTGGGAGTAGTTTGGGCAACCATGAGTGAACTGTGCATGACATCAAAATAAAGCCTGTCACTAGATTCTGTCCCATTAGGACACTTTCTTGAACAGGAACTTTTTGTATCATTCTAACCACTTACTATAACTGGGTCACCTTCCTACTACTTAAATCCCAAAGGATTTTGTGAATCCCAGGACACATAATAGAAATATCTCCATCCTTCTTATTTATGGCCCAAAGCAAAACACTTTCATCAGACAAAAATTCCACTGGGAGTGTAGAAAAATACAAACAAATGAGAATGATTCTTTTGTGAATAATAGTAACTTAAAAAAAATCAAAAGTCAATGTACCATCATTTGAACATACACTTTTATCTACACAGCCAAGGGGATGAGGACAGAGAAAGGGAATTCTCTAGGTAAATAAAACCCCATTTCAGTGTGATTTAAATGGCTTACTGCTGCTTGGATCACCTTCATGGACTGTCTGATCCCTTCCCTGCATGGACCTTAGCTTTAAAGAAACAACAGCCAAAACATTCTAGCTAATAGACTAACAGGAAAACTAGAGTTACTTTAAAATAGATTTAAATTAATTCATAGCTAACTTCAGCTCTACTGACAGCGTAGTGTCAATTATTGTGTTTACAGCATAATAGCTTCAGTTGTATTTTCTGCTTACTCTGAGAGATGGGGAAGATTAAAACATATATGTTGGGATACATTATTAAAGAAAATAAAGCTCTTACTATAAAGAAAAACTTGCATAGCAGTTCATAGCTAAATGTTTACAAAGAAGACACATCACAGTTTTATTTAGAGAGAGAGAGAAAGCATAATGGTTGCGACATTTACTTTATGAGTCTCTAATGTAATGGTTGGTGGTAGAGCAAATATGCCTCACAGAGTGAAATGGCTATATTTGATTTGAAAAAGAATTCACCAAAGTTTTATTCACTTTTTTGAAGATAACATAGGTGGAGTTTTAGCCCTTCTACATCTAAGGGATGACATGGAGAAGAGTCAATGAAATATGTTTTCTGAGTATGGACATCACTTTGAACATATCTAGAAATAAACATGGACATCCCTCTCTTTTCTAAGCCCTCTGCTCCTTTTTCTGCTCTGTGAAGACTGTAAGATTGATCATGCCTCCATTATTTCCCAAAGTAGAAAATCATTCTCTATTTAAAAGGAACATATGAAATTCCAAAAGTGGAACTGGATCAAAGTGAATCCAAGGTGAAAATCCAGGATTGCTTTAAAAAATCTGGCCAGCATGGGCGTGTCCTTACAGAATCATTAGCAGTGAAAACTGGTATACAGTTTAAAGTGTTTGAGTACATATGGATATTTTGTTCAACCATGACTGGGAACCATATTTTTTTCTTCTTGAAATACTGAGCAGAGGGTCGGTAAACAAAAGAGGCACCAACAACTAATTACAAAAATATACGCTGGATGACTGGAAGACAAAAATTTGCAAGGGAATAAAGACATTAATTTGAGCTACTTCAACATGATACTAAGAAAGCCAGTTGATACTGCTTAACAGAATCACTGATGAGTTGTTTCTAAGTAGTATCAGTGATTTCTAACATGCCATTGGCATGCATTCCAAACATTGCTACCTTGTTGATCTAAATACCATGTTGATATAGCTTCAGTGAAACTACCCAAATAATTCTCATTATCAAAAATAATCCCATTCAATATAATTCTTCCCATTATTTTATTAGCCTCTTCTAAAAAAGTATTCTAGAATATATCTCTGTTGGATGTGATTCAACCTGACATATGATTTGAATAGTAACACTTTTCAAGAGAGTTTTCTTGCTAGCACATCACACTGGTTTCTGAAGACAACCAAAATCAGACTCAAGCTTTTAATTCCGTTATCACATAGGGTCAGGGACGCACAAAGGATGTTATTCAGTTCCCACTCGGAAAGCTAACCCCTGAGCTTCAGCATTCTGCCAAAACTCATTTCCAGTTTCTGATTCTGTCAGGTTGGGTTAAATGATATCAAGGGAATCAGCTTCCTTGTGATGTTTTGCGCATCTTCTGAGTGGAGTCTAATCAGGGTAACTACCACCATTCATGCCCTATGGAATTTTTCACTTTTCTTCCAAACCAGGACGCATAGACAGAGCACAGAAATATCTGGGTCATCTCTTCTTTTACCCATGGGATTAATCTTACCCCGATGAGTCCATTTCAATCGGCCCTTTCACCTGACCACCAGCTCTATGAAAGAAATTTATTCGGACAGCGTCAACAGCAAAGTGGTTAATGTGCATCTCTTATGGAAACATCACGCATTCTTTCACCTTGTCGTCGGGTTTTCATTGTACAACCCTGTACAGTACTTCATCAACTATATATATATATATTTTTTAAGATTTTAAAAAGCAAAGAGTTACAAAACTGTTTGTAATTAACTTGAAATAGAAAAGATAGCACTTTTTTTTAAATTCCATTATATAGTACACCGTATAAATTACAGAGTATTCAAATGCACAAATGCATCTGTGTAACATTTATCAAATGTAATCTGTGTGTCTTTATGTGCACACGTGTGTTCGCAAGTTTTACTGTCCACCTAGCGGATGCTGGCCTCCTGGCTGTTACGTGTGGCAGTGTTCCAGGTCGGGCACGCTGCTGTTACAGTATCGCATGTTGTTGGGGATGTGGCAGTCTGTGTAATTAATGCCCCCGTTTGGGGTGTAGATGGGCTGCAGTCTGAAATCTCCTTTAAGGAGCTGATCGTTATTTAAGGAGACGATCTGAAAACTGGTTTCTGTCATCTCCAGGATGGAGTTGTCCTTCTTGGTGCCCGCCTCACAGTAGTCATCTTTCCGCCGGCCACGGTTGTATTTCCACTTCTGGGAGGTGTATCGCCCCTTTTTGTGCATGTGCCAGCAAAAGACGCTGAGTAAGACCACAAGCACAAATATCACAGCACCCCCAATCAAGCCTGCCAGCAGAAAAGGGGAGCCCATGCTGTGGGAAGTCGTCTGCTCGTGGCTGGAAGCAGTGTTGCTGCCATTGTTAAAGTAAGAGGCATGTGTGGTGGCCTCGGAACAAATGGTATCTTCTACAGCACGGTAGTTAAACGCATCCAGTGGCACTAAACAAATCCGATAGGTGGATCGGGGCTCTAAGTTGACCAAGCTCAGGTGCTGCTTCTCACCGCTGACTATGCGTTCCTGAACGATGCCGCCCACCAAACTGTGGCCCATTTTCACCCAGGTGAGCTTGTACGCCATCACGGTAAAGAGGGAGAGCCAGCTCACTTGAATGGAAGTATCATTCACAAAATGGATGAAAAGTTGGATCCGTTCAGCAATAGGAGGGGTCACCCTTTCATTACCATCCCACTCGGGAATCTTGGGGAGTTTTGATGTGGTAGGAACTGGAGGTGTGTGGCTCCTACTTGGCGTTGGAACTGAGAGAGTGGGAAGCTGAGTCGTCGGAGAAGCTGTACTTGGGGCTGGGGTGAACAGAGGCAGGCCAGGGGTTGAGGTGGGACATGACAAAAGATTCATATTCAGCTCCCTCACCGCCATCCCCCGGACTTGTTCAGGACCTTGGCACATGAAACCCCGCACGTTAAGAGATGACGGGATGTATTTGAGCCATTCTGTGACCCATTTAATACTGCAGTCACAAAACCAAGGGTTATTTCTAGCAGTGAGCTGCTTCAGGTTGGAGAGGTTATCAAAAACCCCTTGAGTCAACACTCGCAGTTGGTTGTTGGATATATCCAACCGTTCCAGCTTGCGGAGGTTCGAGAAGGCTGTGAGAGGGATGTGGTTTATCTGGTTGTCCTGGAGATAGAGCCTGAGCAGGTGTGTACCTGGGAGATCCGGAGGGGGATGGGTAAGTGAATTACGTACGATGGAAAATTCCTTGAGCTTGGTGAGATGGCTGAAGGTGCCCTCTGCAATGCCCTTATTGGTCAGGAGATTTCCATCCACGATCAGACGCTCCAGGCTCGTGAGGTTCTGAAAGGCCATGTCAGATATGACAGCAATCCGATTTTCATCCACTCTGAGCTCTTGCAAGTCCACAGGCAGCCCAACAGGCACACTACTCAGGTGGTTCTTGGACAAAAACAACAATTTGAGGCTAACAGCCTCCCGGAAGGCCCCATCCTCCACCCCCACTGTGGAGATCGAGTTGTCATCCAGGTGCAGCTCTTCAAGCTTCAAGAGCTGGGCAAGAGCAGCCCGCGAAATGGTCTGAATGTTGTTTTCCTGCAAATGGAGCACTCTGACATTCTTGGGCAGGTTCATGGGGAACTCATCTAGTTGGTTACCATACAGGTAGACCGTGTGCACTGACTGTACGCTGTGCAGTTCTGCAGGAAATCCAGCATTATTAATTTGGTTGTTGTGGAGGTAGAGCACGGTTACGCCCTCCGGGATCCCAAGAGGCACTGAGGTCAAGCTTCGCTCATTACAGTAGATAAAGTTCCGGTCGCAGCGGCACACAGTAGGGCAGGCCAGGAGTTTGGACATCTGTGAGTTTAGCCCCAAGATAATGATGAGCCAAGATTTCAGAAACAAAGCCCCGTGTCTGGGCCACTTTGTGATCTGTAGGCCCATTTCTGAAGCACAGAAATAAAATACAACGTATTGGGGAAAATAATAAAACAAAACAATAGAGCAAAAGCAAAATGACTAGATGGGGTTCCGTCCAAGTTCAGAACACCAGTTAGGGAAAATGTCCTGAGGGCATGCGGTAAAATAATCTGCTTGCTGTCTCTGATCAGCCTACGCTGCCCTCTCTGCTGCTGTCTTCCATGTGCAAATCAATTCAGCTCTCCACACAGGCAGTGGGTGATGCCAAGTTATCAGTGGTATCCGTACCAGTGCACCTGGCCAGTTTGAGCTCCCCTCTTCTGCTGCAGGTCAGGGCAGCATTGGTCAGCCCATGAACTTGTCCATTCGACTCAGTCTGCAATCTGTTGTTGGAAAAAAGAGAGAAGAAAGCAGGTCAGTTAAAAGCAATAATGGAAGGCTGGGCAGCTGGCCTAACAGTCAGAATACTGACATCTCAAGTGCGAGTCCCCAGTTCCCGGTTCAATTCCAGTTGCCTCCTAATGTGCACTCTGGGAGGCAGGAGATGATTGCTAAAGTAGTTTCAGGCTGCTGGTTTCTATCCAGCCCAGTCCTGTAGGTTGTAAGCGTTTGAGAAGTGAACCAGTGGATGGGAGTTCTCTTTGTCTCTCTCAGATTGATAAAATAAATAAATATCTTTTAAGAAGTAAACAATATAAAATTGCTGAGTTAAACAGCCTAAGTGGGTCTAAGTAATAAGACAGGGGTGGCATTAAATAATGTTTTAAAAAGCACTAATTTGGTTGAAAAGTTATTAAGGAGAACTACATGATTATAATCTATGTTCAAGAGGAAAGTATATATTTATCTTTTACTATCAGTAATTACAAGGTGAATTCTATCATTCAGTCAATACCTTCTCTTAAGTACATATTTGATAAGGGGCATAAGCATGCTACTGAAACCCCAGCAACTGTTAAAGTTGACCACTAACGAATCTTCTTGGTCTTAGACAGTTACTGAGCAACCAGGAAAGTTTAAGGGAAATTGAAGCCTATGTAGAAATGAATTTCAGATATCCAAAATGGTTAATTGAGAAAGTAGCTTTGTTAACTTTCTATCTCCTTTAAAAATGCATTCTAAAATTCTGATGTAAAAGCATATTAATCATTAATGAGAATTCTGGATAATGTGAATACAGGATGAAGATGATAAAATCACTGTTATGAGAACTTACACTGACTACTTATTTCCTCTTTTGTCTATGTGTATACTAAACAAAACTGGAATTATTATTTATTTTCTTTTTGTTACATAATTCTGTGCTGTGACTCCATTTCCAGGTTATAAAAGAAATCATTAAAAAAAAGATGGATCCTTTTGATCTGACATCACGATGGAGCAGAAGCAACACAAAGAAGTCAGAGAAGCACACACGTACCGCACTGTGAAGGCAGAGAAATGGTGTCTCTTTCCTTCCCCACTTCCTGATCTGTGTCTTTCCCCAAAATAACTTTTCATTTGAGTTTCCAGAGAGAGCGACCCCTAACGGCAGTGAAGGGACACCCACTTATCCCCTCCCTAGAAACCTCCAAATACAGAGGAAACAAATCACCATGAGCCCTTTAGGAATCACCAAGCTCATGATTGGGAATAAATTCTCCTACAACAACACCGCCTTCCTGCCTGTGAGAGCTTTTTCTGTTTATTCGGGACTTTTAGCCAATTTAAAACCGATAGAAGACATAGCTGAGAAAGTAAAGGCAATCCACAGATAGCAATCACGCCTCTTGTCGCAGAGTGTGTTCCATCTGCTTTTAGATTAGAGAGGTAGAGAAGTTAATTGAAAGGTGCCAGATTTGATTTCCCTATAAAATAAGCAAACATGACAGGACATGGTGAGCTGCGAGCCTCTCAATTCTCACCAATACACGGAGATTGAAACGACTTACATCAAAAAGCACAGAGGTAGGATTTGAAATAGTTTCCTAGACTATCTTTAGAAATATAATTTTAAAAGGAAAAAAAAAATCACTCTGTTATTTGTCAAGGATATTGTAAATTTGTTCTATAATTTAAAAGACTATAAACCATCCGATAATGCCTATGGTGACCGGAGCCGTTAAAATTCATAGTTGTTTGTTATATAATAAATTCATAGTTTATTGTATTTTATAAAAAGGTAGACGATCTCTTCGCAGGCAAAAAGAAGATGTCCCAATAGTTATTTGACTGAAAAAAGTACAAGGAAGTATCTTGCCGCTGAACGGGACCAGATTTTTACTGGACAAAATTTTATGTGTTTGAAGAATAACTTCTACAACTAATGGTAGCACAGAAAAGAAATGGGTTTAATGTAATTGGGCAAAGCAAGACTTAGCTGAGGTTTCAAACCCTACTAAAGTTTCCTGGTCTCTTGCTACATGAGTGTGGTTCTTTGTCCACAGAAAGAGGCTGACCTAGGAAGCTGGTGGATGAACAGAACCCCAAGGAAAGAACCTGAAAGTTAGAGTGAGCCTTGGGTGAGTACGTTGACAAACATTGCCCTCAACACTGGGATGCCTAAGTTAGTAAGTACAACATAAACACAAGGGCACATCACTTGATTCTTTAGAGATCTGTAATGGCACAATATAGGTTTATCTTTGGTGATAGGAGACAGGTTCAAACTATATCTTATATGCAAATTACATCTGCTAGGGGGTGTTGGGCTGCAACTCTGCGTCACTTGACCTCAACAGAAAAATGCAGCTGTGAATGACAGGCTGTAATGTCCAGTAGGACCTTGAAGATTAATTTGTAGGCAGAAGAGCCCACTTATATAAAGCATTATAAAATGGTATTACTAAGTATTTACAGAAGAGGATGAAAAGACTTGGACCTAACATTACAGTGGAATGGTAGTCCTCAGAGCACAAGGAAGGTGCACAATGAACAGAATTTCTATGCAGGAAAAAAAAAAAAAGAAAAGGCAAACCCACACACACACACACACACATCTAAGTTTTGTATAAAATTAAGAGATGCCTCTCAACTCTGTCTACAATCCAAGCTTTTAAGCCTAAGACAACAAATACTTGAAGATGACATAATTGACTTAAGAGTTTACCAGCTGAGCCTCAGAGAAATAATCACTGGGAATTATGATGCATCCAAAATTTTAAGATTTCCACTTATCTGCATTGTTGTCTTCCGAGACAGAAAACACACCAGCAGCCAATGCTCTGCCCAGGGGCTTGCTGTTCTGCAGGCACATGAATAATTACGTAAGAAGACAAGATGTTGTGCTCCAAAGGACATTCCTAATAAGATTACATGGGGCATGGGGCACACCGCCACTGTGGATTCACCTTAACAGGAGAAAAGTCTCAAGCAGACCAGTGTGTTGATCAGGCATGACAAATCTAATTCTGAATGGAAACAAACCCTCAGATCTTCCTTTGAGCGTGGTGGGAATTCTACAAAGGAGAAGCCCAGGGCACACCTGCTTTGATCCTTGGATTAACAATAGCCTATGCGTGTCAGCTAATGACCATCTTTGTTCAACTTAGTTCAAAGTACGATACTGCAGAAATTAGTTCGTAATGCTATTTTTGATTTATACTTTCACAAATTAAAGTTCACTCCATATTTTCAGTTGTGCTTTCTAAACCCCTTTAACATTTCACACAGGAGAATATACTTGTTGAGAAAGCGGTATACTCTACTGGTCAAGAACACGGGACTGGGCCAGTCCTAGAACAGTAGCATAGGCTGCCACCTGCAGAGTTGGCGTGCCATATACCCCTTATCAGAGCTCCTGCTTGAGTCCTGGCTATTCCACTTCCAATCCAGTTCCATGCTACTGTGCCAGAGAAAGCAAGAGAAAGCAGGAGAGGATGGCAGAACTCCATGGGACCTGTACCACCCACACTGGAGACCAGGACAGAGCTTCAGGTTCCTGGTTTTGGCCTGAACCAGCCATTGTCATTGCAGGCATCTGGGGAGTGAAGCAGCATAAAGATCTCATTGTTTTTTTTCTTCTCTGTCATGCCTTTCAAATAAATGTTACAAAAAAAGAAAAAGACAGACAGACAGACATGAATCTTGAACAAAAAGAGAGCAAGTAAACCTTAGCCCTGGACTTACATCCTAACACTGAAATGCTGTAAGGTCCTGCATATATTAATATTAGGAGTGTTGCTTTTTTATTTGAAAAATGGGTAGTAACAGTTCCTAACACACAACACTGAAGAGGATTAAATAAATACCATTTGTGAAAAATCTGCAAGGTGTCTGAACATGGCAAGAATGTAATAAATCTGAACCTGTTGTTCTACATTAAATTCCTAATGATATTCAAAGGGCGAACTGTAACATTGTCAGCAACACAACATCACCCTGGACTTGGCTTGTAGCATCACTTAGTCCCACGGTTTCTTAACCTTTGTCCGATTGACATTATGGGCCTGATAATTTTTGTCATGCTGTTGCCAAATGTGCCCCAAATCTTGTCCAGTGACTGCCCTATATAGGATGTGCTATCATTCTTAGCTGAGAACTATTGACCTATACCATTTTTTTCAGGTGACTTGGACAGATGGTATTATCACTGTAATTTTCCAGTGAAAATTGAAGGTTATTTCCTAACACATCATCTAAAAATGATTTACTGCAATAGACATGGAGAAAGCACAGAATGCAGTAAGCTTTGCATTAATTTATCCAACCAGTATATTTTTTGAGCACCAGAAGGAAGAGACAACTTTAGTTAGCAGATGAGGGTTTTGGTTCATTGAGGCTTAAAGTTTTGCGAAGGGAAAGAGTATATTTACTATTGAGGCAGCTGGTTAGGATGCTATGGCAGGGGCATTGATCTTGGAACACCATCTGGTCCAGGGATGCCTAAAAAGCTGCACCCTTGGGCCCTGTGCCTCATGGCTAAAGTTCTCACCTTGCATGTGCCACCTCCTATATAGACGCCGGTTCCAGTCCCAGCTGCTAGACTTCCCTTCCAGCTCACTGCTTGTGGCATGGCAAAGCATAGAAGATAGCCCAGATTGTTGGGACCCTGTACCAGCGTGCAAGACCTGGACGAAGCTCCTGGCTCTTGGCTTCAGATCAGCTCAACTTCAGCTGCTGCAGCCACTTGGGGAATGAACCAGCAGATGAAGATCTTTCTTTCTGTCTTTCCTTCTCTCCATAAATCTGACTTTCTAATAATAATAATTTAAAAAAGAGCTGTACCCTATCTCTCAAGGTGTCAGTGAAAGTGCTGTAGCACCAGAGGGGTCCAGGTGAATTTCTGCAGGTAAGGAAGCCTCATCATGTAGAAGAGTCTGAGCTGCTTGTCACTCAATCCTAGCAAGCAAACCCAGCTCATAGAAGAAGCAAAGATTTTTCTGGTTCTTTCTCCTGGATCTTG